ATGTAAAGCGCAAAACCTTGTATTTTGTATATATTTGCACAATACATATTTGTATTTATAATCCTTCCAAATGGAGCCTATACGAGGAAAATCTGTTAAAAAAATACAAATCCCACCGTATTATCCATCATAATGCTCTCAAATTCGACTAGAATGTATATTTGTGCTAAATACATTGTAACCAAACGCAGCCTTAATTCGTGTAAAATGTTTAGGATAAGAATTTTTTTCATATACTCTAAGATGGAAAATTCTTAGAATTTGGCTACAATCAGCCCAAGAGGCGAAGACTTTATTGAGACAATTAGGTATTTGGATGAACATCTTAATGAATTAAATCCTTGATATTATATATTCCAAAATGATTTAACATCTTACTTGATTAGCAAGGTGCCAACTGGTTGGTTGGTCCTGCATGCACCAAAGTTGGGAGGTTATGCGTCAGGGGATGGACCCAAAAAAAAACAGTTTACTTGTTTAAATCATCCAAAATTACTACTCGAGAGTTGAATTAGGCTGATCCGATCTTAACTCGATAGGTCTGAGTCAATGCAGACTTACTACTTGAGTCCGGATCTCCTGCCCACTACGGGGGGTAGTGTGTTGTGGGCAGACGTGGGCAGGAGATCCGGACTCTACCACTTGACCCAGCTTGGACACAGTCTAGCTCATGATCATCCCAAGATTCTTTTTGGGCCATATTTATTTTTTTTCACCACTCAATCAACAATCACCCCAAGATTTGATTCTACACTTCCGTTATGTGCACTTTTTTAATATTATATTAGAGGTACAAATCAGGTGGTCTGGGCAGGTTTAAGGTCAGCCAGTAACTTAGGCCCAAGCCCTTGGTCAAGCCCAAACTGTCCAACCTAGGCCCAGCTGAACTAAAATTTGATGCCCTCAGGCCCAGGCTGGGTTCAGGTTGGTCAATGAGCCCAAAATAAAATTCAATATAAATGTATGCATATATATAAGAAAAAGTACACAAATACATGTATGCATACAAATATGTGTTTGCATATGCATACAAGTAAATGTGTACATGTTTATTGATGCATATATGTTTGTACATAGTCAGCCAGGCTTAGGTTAGGATATGGTCAGGCTTGGGCCAAATTTGGGCTACCTAAGGACTAGGTCTAGGCCCAACCTAAAAAAATAAAAAGCCCAAACTTTTGGGCCTAGGCCTAGCACAAGGACCAAAAGTCCAAGCCCAACCTATATAAAATTGTAGGTTAGGTTAGTGGGGGCTTAGGTTGGGCCTGCCCAAGTTGCACCCCCTATGTTATATGGTGCCAACCAAGCATTATTAGGCACCACATAGTCAAAAAGAAGAAAATGTTTTCTTCAATTCAGGAAACTTCATGTTGACATTTTTCTCAAAAATTGTATGTACATAGTCTCAGCTGAGACTATTGCTTGTAAAAACTACTATGCTCAACCAAATAAAAGATACAAGAAACACCTACATGATGCTAACATGGAGGAAATGCCTTAAAGAAACAAATTCAAATTTGCTCCTCACAACACAAAGCTCAAATTTCCTATAAGCAAAAACTCTACTCACATAGCATCTAGCCACACATTGGAAATATCTCCCTAGATGCATGTTAAATTAATAAGGAGATGTTCCCAATGTGCAAATGGATTCCCATGCTTTTAGAGTGTGTAGAGTTTTTGCCCATAGCACATTCAACCATGTATTGGGAACATCTTCCCATGAATAGCAACATACAAGTGGGGGACTTTAAAAAATAGGGCAAATTTCAAAGACTCCCTATATTGTGGGCTGGGTGGCAATTACTCCTCTTGAACTTTCATTTGCGACAAAGACCCCCTAAACTTTCACTATATGACAAATACCCTATGGTCATTAATTCAAACGATGGAATGTATTAAATTACCAAAAATATCTCCATTTTTTCAAAGCAAAACCATCTAAATTAACAATAATCATTTTACTAATATAGAAAAACAAGTTTCCTTATATTTTTGTTTCATTTCAATGACATAAATGTCTCTTTGCATTTTAAAATGTAAAAACTGTCCACTTCTTTATCCAATTAATCACGAAAAAACAAATAAAACCTTAAATTTATATATATCATAAAGAAAACTCTACCGTTTCATATGAATATTGAATCCAGCCAGAAATCTGTAAGGATCTATTGGAGTAGCTAAGAGGACTTCAATATTATATTTAGAAAATTAATCGAATCATAAATCGTTCAAATAAATAAGAAAAAGAATAATTTGGCGATTTAAAATTTTTAAACAACTAAGTGAGAATCTTTTCTAAAGTTAATTGATGAAACTCTAATGGGGCATTGTGTTGCAAAGTGAAAGTTTAGGGGTAATTGTCATTATCCCCATAGTATCGAGGTCTTTGTAATTTACCCAAAAAAACAGTATACATAATCACTTACCCCTATAATTTTTGACAATGGACAAAATTGTTAAATATTACCGGAAAAGATAAAATGACCATGTTTCCCTTCCATTAACTAAAGAGGTAAAGAATATGAAACACACTGAAAAAAAAAACACTAGAGGTGACTATTGCAATCCTAGTGAGATCTTGATGACCATTACAAATCCCAACAACCATAGGTATTGCGAAATCCTCGAGCTGTGCAATTTAACTGGATAGTGTTAGTGTATATGGTAGAAGATGACTAACCTATTCGATCATGGCTTGAATTCCGATTCTATAATTGTGAACTTCGTAATCTGCCAACTCATCTCCCGACTCGAATGAATAGAATTATGAAGCATCCATCGTTCCCCCTATACCCCACCAAAACCTCTCTCTATGTGTGTGTGTTTCATTTCCAAGAGCTAAGAAAAACACTCGTAAGTCCCTGGAGATAAGACGAGATGGAAGCCCCCCAATGAAGGTTCATGGTTTTTTGCAGAGCAATTTGGTTTGGGGAGGCAAATTTAGGGTTCTAGATGCAAAATGAAGGCAGGACGCCTACTTTAACGCTGGTTCTGCTTTTGCTACTCAAGACCTTCATTGAAGCCGAGGTGGAAGGACGAGGTTGTGCACCGAGGAGATTTGAAAACAAGAAAGAGTAAGAGGCCTAGGGATGAGGTCCCCGTGAAGGCACTATGATGCTCAAGTTAGTAATGGGGTGATGGAGTAAGTCAGGCCAAGTTGAGGAGAACAGTAAGTGAGCAATAGAGGTAGAGTGTTTAGAAAGTTGAAAATCATTTACCTTGAAGGGATATGCCTTTAAATAATTGAGTGTTTGATTTGTACTTGGACATACTCCTTGTGGGGTTATTGGGATGAGGCTGCCCATCGAGGTTTTCAAAGAGATCCACCTTCCTCAGCGATGGCGCTTATCCTTGGGAGGTGGTGCTTATCCTTGTCTATACGGGACTTTGCTTCCATCCGAGGCCTTTAGTGACATAACTATCCACACTTGTAGGTAAGCAGTGTGCTGACTTGGTCTGAGAACATTGGCCATGGAGGTGCCCATGTGGCAGCTTTAACCAGTTAGGACACCGCTCGAACAGGAAGCAATGTTCGTATAGGAAGAAGATTGAAGCTTCTTGTTATGCTCTAGTCTTGAAGAATCATCATCTCGAGAAGATCATTTCTTATAAAAATTAATCCGTGAGAGCCAAAATCTCTCAATAGCAAGAATTCGTAAATCGAAACTTCCTTCACTCCTCTCTTTATTCTTGTCACGATACCTCTCTTTCTGTCACTGCTAGAGCTTCCCTCTATATAAATTACAAACTTCCAATCTTCTTCTCCAATGACGAAACTTCACCCGGTCACAATCGTCCTCGAATTATTGATCGACATTTCTTTTTGTTTATTTTTGCTTGATAAATCTACTTGGTTGTGGTCGTCTTCAACTACAGTGAAGATTAACTCTAATCATCTTTCTCTACATGGTTTGTTGCTTACTTGATTTGCCGCAATTTTTTTTATTTACATTTTTCAAGATTAACTCTAGAACAGATTGTAATGAACGAAGGCTCTACTTATTTAATTAGAGCCAATGACTTTTACGACATGTGTCGATTTTATTTTGAAAATTTAAAGAATAATGAAAATTAACCATAAAAAGGTAATTTTGAAATTAATAAAAATTATTTGTAAGCATGCACCAACGATGAGGGAGGATTTTATCCATTGTCAAAAACTATAAGGATACTTTAAATGATTATGCCAACAATAGGATAAGTTCTTGTTTATTTGCTGAACCATTGGAATAATTTAAGTATTTAACCAAAAAAAGTAAAAAGCTTCCAAATAATAAGTCATCATATTCATAGTGTCTGCCCTACCTCATCGGAACTAATATAACGAATTTACATCTGGCCCCCATAGAATGCGCCCAAAAAACGCCCCACATGCACATGTCAGCGTGCATATGTGCCGTGGGACGTATTTGGAGCGCGCTCTGTGGGGACTGATTTGAACTCTGGTATAACCTAGACTCACATCCGATCAACCGTTTCAGAATCATAGTCAATATTCTCCATCTGTTTGTCATGTGCAAGTGCAAATACACGTCCCAGTCAACCAATTCATATACCCACCGGTGCCACGCGAGTCTGGCCTGTTGTATGTTTGTTTGAGATAGTTTCCTGGTCCTTATCTCGCTCGAAATAAAATAATAATAATGATAATTAAAGAATAGTCCTTATCTGATCTCTAATCCAATTATGAAGAATCACCCAAAATAAGATAAATAAAATTATCGTGCCTTTTGAATCCTGCCTCCTAAGCCGGTGAGCCCATGCAAATACGATATCACATGCTCTAAAGGATCTCCCCTGCCACGTGTACGGTAATTACTCTACGAAAGGATTGAGGAATCTGGATCTTACTACATAATATATCTTTCAGACTCATAGATAAGTCCACGTTTTTATAAAAAAAAAAAAAACGAAATAAAGATAACATCCACGTGTCTTTACAAGCTCTCCGTATCGGAGCAGCCTTTCCCGCGAGAAGGAACTTACCGGTTCTCGTTTTTCTCTCTTTTCTTCGTATAATTCGCATGGACTGTTTTAAAAGTACGTGTTACAAGTAGAACTGCAGAAGAGTGTACAGCAAACAGATCTGTCCTGTCCTCGCTGCGAGCGATGACTTGGAGGCGTAGTTGGCAAAACCAGGCATGGAATTATGGCCGACGGGGGTTGCGCGCCTACGGAGCTAGACGTGCGCCACCGCTGCCCTTGGAGCAGAAGACGCCAGCTCTATTGTCTTCTGCTCGAATGATCCTCTCTCGAAACGCCTTTGCCTCGGTTTCTTCAGCTAAGTTCTTCGAGGTGAATCTTTGCTGATTCTTAAATCAAGCTTAATCAACCCATCCTGATTCCTGATAGTTTGTTTTGTTCTCGACTCTGATTGTAACTTAGGGCTTCATGTAGTTCTAGATGGACATGCAGAGTAAGGTTTGGATTTCTTTCCTTTTAAATTTGGAAGATTGATTAGCGGTGAATCGTTAGCTGTTGAATTTTATTATTTGCTTTGTTTTCCTATATGAGTTAGTTAGAATTGTATACTCTTCATCCGTGTTCTAGTATTACGGAAAGTTTGCTTCGCCACTTAACTTACTATGCTGTTCATTTCGAGTCTTCTTGAATAAATTCAGAACTCTTTACTCTGCAGCGTCTATTGGACTGTAGTGTATTCACTGGACACTGGATTCTCTACCTAATGGGATACACTTTCTCCAGCATTGTGCAACTCCCGTGCGGGAAATTCGAATTTCCCAGATGTTACGATCTCACTCAATGCTCAATGGTAGCTAGAAAAATTAAATGAAAGTAGAAAATAGAATGAGGAGTCCACTTCGAGGGGGACCTCCATTAGAGGCTTAGAGCTACAGATCCTACAATTAACTTCTTATTTTCCCCAAAAAATTCATATGGCATCTAAGTTATGTAAGAGAACTAAGATAATCTAAACCTCAACTTGCCTAACATGATAAGATTTTTACTCTAATAAACTTCCTAAAAAATCTCTAGAATATAGTTAATACCTAAAAAGAAACTATAAAATAGAAAGCAAATATTGTTTAGATAGGGAGTATATCATTCCATGTCCCTTCTAAATGTAATCAACCTTGCCCTCAAGGTTGAAACATATTCTTCTTTGGAGGTTGGTCGCCGGCAAACTTCTTATGCCTTGCAAAAATTGATAGTACTGATCACCTTTTATAGCATAATAAGCCTTTTCTTCACAACTTAGACCAAATTGGATTTGCCAAAAGATATCAATAGAATGACCATATAATTGTAGAGAACTCCTTTGGCATGTCACAATGATATGGATCAGTGTAGGAATATGTCAAAATCTTTAAAAACAGAGTCCACGTGACAAATAGTTGTTAGATCCTTTTACTGAACCAAATTTAGAGCTCTTGCATCTTTCTCAACAAAAGTTGGGGCTTTCTCATCTAACACCACCAAAGTTGGGATCCTAAGCTTTTTCTTAGGTTGTTGAAGTCAACCTGGCAAGTGTTAGCTCGGGTTATTTCTTTGGCCTTTTCTGTGTGTACAACAGCCATCCCCACATGATTAGAAACTGTAAGAGAAATGTAGACCTAAAAGGTTTGTCAAAGCATATTTTCAAACATCTTAGCTTGTTAGGCTGCAAAAGCCTGAAAAACAGCTTAAAGGTTTTCTTATAAATCTATTTGAAGTCAAGATATCTGACAAACCATTTTTTATTGAAAGGAATGTAAGTACTCAGATCAAGTAGCCATCTTCATTATGAGTTTGAGGGAGAAGGACCAATTGTTACTCTCAAAGAACCATTCAACCTAAAAGCTTAAGCTGTTAGGTGAGGTCCTTGAATAGGGTTGATATTCTCTAAACGCCCCCTCACACGAAAGCCCATTGGGCTTGAAGCGTGAACAAGTACAGGCCCACCCATACCTTGTGCTGAAACTTATTTAATTATTATGGGGTAGCGAGGATCGAACACTAGAACACTTGGTCAAATTGGCTCTGATACCATCTCAAAGAACCATTCAACCTAAAAGCTTAAGCTGTTAGGGGAGGTCCTTGAATAGGGTTGATATTCTTTAACAGTTACAATCTCACCTTATCATAACTAAAAAATAAATAAAATTAGAAAGAATGGATGAGGAGTCCACTTTGAGGGTAATGGACCTCCTAGTCCTAGCCTAGGTATGTCACTTCAAAGGGGCAAACACCTCCATTAAAGATAAAGCTCTTACACTTTACTTCTTCCTTACTCCCCAAATCCATAGTTCCATACAACATAAATGATATATAAGACACCTAAGATAATCCAAATCCAATGCTTCCTGGACATGGGCCCAGGAATTGGAACCCAACACATCTCCAAGAGTCCGACTTGGCAAGATGAGAAAATATGGACTTGGGCAAACATCCATTGAAAAGTATATAGTGTCAAATAAGCTAGAAGAAGAAAAGGAAATGTTACATAGAAGTGTTCCTCAAGAATTTGTGGAGTGCCAGAACCCGACATGTGTCCACCATGAGCATGTTGTCCATTTAGGAGAGTCCATGGAAAGCTGTTCAAATTGAGTTGACACATACCTGTTGGATGGTTCGTGCTATTGGTTTCGCTTCATCTAGTTTAACAGGAGATGGTTTCTTGTATTTTTGTCTGTTTGTTCAATTCAAGTTGTATTAGGCATGTAAAAAAATCAGTCCTTTTTTTTCTGATGTGAACTTTTTTGTATTGATACCCTGCTCATTTTACTTTTTATTTCTTTCCCTGTTTTCTAGCTGACCAATCCATATTTCACCAAGAAATGTTACTTTTCAAGTGATGCTTGGGTTGACCTTCCAGTTGGTGTGATAGTCGAGGTACCCCTGGCACAGACAGGTGAAGGGATAGCTGAGTGTGAACTTCTCAAATGGTTTGTCCAAGAGGTAAGTAAAATATTTTTATTTTATTTATCCATTTGCAAGGTTCTGATTAATATTGCTGCTTTGTACTACTTTGGGTGGAAATGCCTTGTGTGACCCTTTGGATTGGTGATCGTCATTCTTGAAGTTGTGTATACTTAACTCTAGTTGGTAATAGTGTTTACTCAATAATTTTTAAGTGAAAGGTTGTGTCATTATTTATACTTATGATTTCACTTTGAGATGCTTTACGGTATCAAGTTCTATACATTTTGGTTATTAGTGAACCATTCCGTGTCACAGCTGCTTATATTTTATGTAATAAGAAGAAGTGATGCATATCAATTTTTTAGATCTTTTCCTGATATTGTCATACCATTTCATGTCACAGATATATATGTTTAATTTAATTACAATAAAGGATTCATATCAGTTTTGTGTAAAATGAACAAGAGATCAACTTTATTAATAAACACATACATTAATGTCATGATCAGAATCTTATTCACTTTCTGAGGATATCATTTTTCTAATAAAATATTAAGGAAAATTATTTGAAAAAGTTTGTATTTTGATTCCTTTCTGTTATTGAAAAATCTTTTTTTTTTCCTTTTTAAGTTAGTGACTAAACTAGGGTCTTAAGCTCTATTTGTTAAAATAAGCCAGAGATTACCCTAATGCTCTGCTTATGTAAGAATGTGATCTCTAACTGGATAATGCACTAAATATATGTTTGAATTTCTCTCTTGGAAGGGTGATGAAATTCAAGAATTTCAACCCCTTTGTGAGGTTCAGAGTGACAAAGCAACTATGGAAATAACAAGTCGTTACAATGGAAGAGTTTCTGAGATTCTCCATCATCCAGGAGAAATAGTGAAGGTAAAACAATCTGCCTTAGAAGTGAATGCATATTTACATGCATGCTATTTTACAAATGCTTGTATATACATAAATATGTACTTTTGCTCTGATAATGTAAACTTAACTCATTCATAAAGGAGAGAAGAGAGTAAGAGAAAAAAGGGAAAAAGAATATGTGATTCTTGCTTCTTGGCGAAATTCTAAATCAACCAAAATTGAAGGATTTCCTGATGCAAACAAAAACTTGAAGACATACCACCCTAGGCCTAATGGAACTCACTAAAGACCCATGCCTACATCATTTTGGGAGTTATTGTCTGTAATTTTAATGACAGAATAGTCATAGGTTTTTGGTATTAATATTTAATTGGTAAGGGAGTAAAATAGTCAATTCTTTGGTCTGTTAAAGATTAGCTCAACCAGAAGATTTGTTCTTTAAAATGCATTCAGTAGCAAAGATTTTATTTTCCAATTTTTTTTGGAGCACACATTTTCAAGATTCTTTTGTGGAACCATTCCCTTTGCACTTTTCAATCTACAATTTGGAGGATTTAATAATCTTTTCCAGCATTGATCTGGATGATTTCTTTCTTTTTTCAGTGTCTACATCAATTTTGCATCAATAGTAAGTTAAGGCTTCCATTTTCCCCTTTTTATTTTTCTGATACTGAAACAAGAATATTACAAAGGCTAATTTACCAAATCTTATCCCAACTATAATATAAATCCTATTTTGCCATTCCATCCTATCAAGGGTAATAATATCTTCTGGCAAATTGTAAGCCCTCAAATAATTTCTCACTACCTTAACCCATGTCATTTTTGGTCTTGCCTTAGATCTTTTGGAACCATCTGTTCATATCAAGTCACTTCTTACCAGTGCAATAGGTGGTCTTCTATGCACATATAAATTTCCTTTGTTTTATCATCTGTTGGTGCTACCTGGATTCAAATGAATGTTCTCATTTCTAATCCTCCCTTCTCTAATTCTCTACCCATCTATCTCAACATCCACATCTCCTCTACACTTATTTAATGGATGTACTATTTCTTAATTGCCAAAAACCATGCTAATGTTGCTGGCTTTAGAACCTTATGATATGATATTCCTTTTTAATCTAATTGGTGTTTACATGACACTCCATATGCACCTCTCCATTTTATCCATCCTCTTCTAATAACATCCTCTTCAATATTTACCTTTCTATAGATTTTCAAACCAAGGTGAAGGAAGTGAACACTTTGAGACATCTTTTGGTAACTAATCATGTTGTATCCTCATTTTTATTTTTATAGCTAAAGCAGTCGAGAATAAGAAAAAGAAGGAAGAAGAAAGGTTCTTTCGAAGAACTCAGGTGTGTTAGTTCACACCCTGAAGAGACTTTCTTAGTATTTGAAAAAAAATTACAAATGGGCCCTTGAATAGGTGCCCAAATACAAAAAAAATGAAACAAATCTCTCCACTGGCAACTCTTTCTCTAATGAAATGTCGATCAACCTCTATACGCTTTGTACGGTCATGTTGAACAGGATTGTGGGCTTTGTTTATGGCTGCTTAATTGTCATAATATAATATCATTGGAGTATCAATCCGCACTCCCACTTCTGTCAACAAGTTCTTCAGCCATAACAATTCGGAAACTCCATGAGCCATAGCTTCGTATTTTGCCTCTGCACTAGATCGAACCACCACTGATTGTTTCTTACTTCTTCAAGATACAATATTACCACCCACCAAGGTACAATAGCCAGAAGTAGACCGCCTATCATCAATAGAACCTGCCCAATCAGCATCAGAGTAAGCCTCTACCTTGAGATGCCCATGATTAGAATACAACATCCCTTTTCCTGGACATCATTTTAATTAGGCTAGTATTCTATTCACTGCTTGCATATGAGATGATCTAGGCTCGTGCATATATTGGCTAACCACACTCACAGCATATGATATATCTGGTCTAGTCAAACACAAGTGGAGAAGGCGACCGACAAGTCTTTGATACACAGCTTTGTCAGGAAGAACATCTCCATCATCAACTCCCAACTTATGATTGGGATCAATTGGAGTTTCAGCTGGTTTACAAACCAATTTCCCTACTTCTTGAAGCAGATCAAGGATATATTTCCTCTCAAAAATATAAATGCCCCTCTTTGACCTTGCAGCCTCAATCCCTAGGAAATACCAAAGATTTTCAAGATCTTTAATTTCAAATTTAGTAGCAAGAAAAGACTTTAGTTCAGCAATTCCAGAGATATCATCCCCTGTGATAACAATGTCATCAACATATACTATCAACATAGTCACTTTTCCATTTGCTCTCTTGATAAACAAGGTATGGTCAGCTTGAGATTGAGAAAAGCCAATTTTTAAGATAGCCTTTCTGAATCTGTCAAACCAAGCTCTAGGGGACTGTTTAAGGCCATAAAGGGATTTCTTCAAACGACAAACATTTCTTTCACTCTCAAGGATGTTCACTCCAAGAGGAAGCTCCATGTAAACTTCTTCTTGAAGGTCGCCATTAAGGAATGCATTCTTAACATCCATTTGATACAAGGGCCAAGAATAATGGCAAGCAAGAGGCATGATAACTCGAATTGAGTTCATATTGGCTAATGGAACAAAGGCTTCCTGATAATCAATGTCGTAAGATCGAGTGTACCCTTTTGCCACAAGTCGAGCTTTATACCTTTCAATTGAGCCATCAGCTTTATACTTCACTGTGTAAACCCACTTACATCCAACAGGAACTCTGCCCACTGGAAGAGAAACAATCTCCCATGTTTGATTTTTCTCAAGCGCCTCCATTTCTTGATTTATAGCATCCTTCCAATGAAGGAACTGCACCACCTCAGTAACACTGTGAGGGATAAAAACAGAAGCAATGGAAGAGATATAGGCACAATAAGAGGGAGATAAGGTATTATAAAAGACATAATTTGAGATAGGATATTTAGCACATGTCCTTTTTGCTTTACGAACCGCAGTAGGAAGGTTAAGGTTAGAAACCACACTAAGAGGCTCAATAACAGGTTCACCACAAGTATTAGAAACAAGAAGAGGTTTAGAATCTAGATTACCTAAGTCTGGGAAGTCAGATTGTAATGGACATTCAATCTCTGGAGTCATCCTCTTTTTTTGTCTAACGAACTACTGGTGCCAAGACCGAGGAATAGGAGGAGGCACAGGAGGAGTATTACTACCAACACAAGGAGGAAGAGAAGGAGAAGGATCGACAATACCAGTTACAGCTGAATCGACATACAAAAAGGAGTCCGATCTTCACTAGCATTCTCCCCCTGAAGAGAAGGACAAGAAGAGGAAAAGAAGGGAGTAGACTCAAAGAATGTAACATCTTTAGACACATACCTTTTTCCAGAGTGAGGGTCATAACAACGGTACCCTTTTTGGACTGAAGAATATCCCAAGAAAACACACTTAATAGACTTTGGATCAAATTTCAACCTAGAAGGACTCATGTCATGGACGCAACAGGCGCACCCAAAGACCTTAGGAGGAAGATGGAAGGTATCCTCATCAAGAAAAAGAAGTTGATAAGGAGACTGGAGATGAAGGGTCCGTGAAGGAAGTCTGTTAATAAGATATACAACTGTTTGTACAGCATCCCCCCAAAACTGAGTTGGGACATGCATTTGGAATAACAATCCCCTGGCAACTTCAACCACATGTCCGTTTTTCCTCTCTAATACCCCATTTTGTTGGGGGTATGAGGACATGAACTTTGGTGAATTGCTCCTTTCTCTTCAAGGAAAGTTTGTAAGTGCTTCTCAAAGTATTCATTGGCATTGTCAGATCTAATAATCTTAATCTTCTTTTCAAATTGTGTCTCCACCATATTAAAAAGTCTTTTATAATTGAAGGAACTTCATCTCAGCTCTTCATCAAATACAGCTAGGTATACCGCGAGTAGTCATCAACAAAGAGAATAAAATATATATAACCACCCATACATGGAATAGAATAAGGTCCCCAAACATCAGTATGTATTAAATGGAAAGCAATATTACTTCTCTTGTTACTTGCAAAATATGTGGTTCTACATTGCTTTGATAGTTGACAGACTTCACATTGTAGACCAAAACTAGATAAGGACTCAAACAGACTAGGAAACAAAAGCTTCAATGAACCAAAAGACACATGCCCAAGACGGTGATGCCACAATTCAATTGACTTAGTTTTTCATCACGACAAAACTCAGACTGACGCATTAACCCAAACTTTGGAGACTGATCAAGAAGATAAACTCCATCGGCTTCATGTCCACTGCCAATCATCTTCCCCATAATCAGATCCTGGAAGACACAATAAGTTGGAAAGAATGTTATAGAACAATTATGAGACTTTATAAGAGAGTTAACAGATAAGAGATTTCTATGCAGTTGTGGGACATGGAGAATTGATTTCAGAGAAAGGTTGTTGGTAAGTTTAACTTCACCCAAACCTGAGATTGAGGTCTGAGATCCATCAGCAACAGTAATCTTACCTTTCCCTGAAAAAAGTTTATACGTGGTAAAGTAGGAAGGCATACCAGTCATATGATCACTGGCTCTTGTGTCAATTATCCAAGAGCCAGAGGATGAGGCATGACACGCAAGTGCAGTACGTGATTTTGCAAAGTCACTAGAAGGTGAATGTGAACCAGCAAATGTAGGCAACCCACTCTTTTCAAGATGGATCAAGATGCCTCTCAATTTTTCCATCACATCAGAGGTGTCATGAGTAGATGCCTGAGCAGAAGAATTTCCCTCAAGCATGTGAGTCTGAGAATCATGACTAGCTGTAGCAACATGAGCATTTACCTTCTTTCCGGTTTTAAACTTCTCAGGCTTTAGGTGGGGATTTAGTTTCCAACACCTATCCTTGGTGTGCCTTGGCTTCTTGTAATATTCACAAACTACATCTTCAGGTTTACTAGAACTCTGTTTGGGTTTTGTAGACACAAGAGTAGTGTGCTCATTGACAAGAACTTGCATCATGGCAATCCTCCTACTCTCTTCATTCTGCACCAAAGAGTATGTTGTGGAGAGTGACAAAATATCAGCACTAAGGATGTGTTGCCTAGTGAAATCATAATCGGCATTCAATCCAGCAAGAAAATCAAAGGCTTAGTTTTTCTCAATGCACTTCCTGTATTGTTCAGCATCAATAGGATCCTTCCACTCCAAAGCTTCTAAATGATCCATTTCTTCCCAAACCAATTGTAAGGAAGAGAAATGCATGGCCATCGATTTCTCCCCCTGTCGCATATTACATTCTTCTCTTCACAACTGATAGATTCTAGTCATATTCTTCGCTTGAGAAGAATACATGTTCCATCAAGTTTTACAGTAGTAATCTGCCCTCCAGCACTGTCATTATTTCCCAGGAGGACATAGGTAGGTACGTACACACCCTTGTGTGAGTCCATTGATCACCACCCCTCTAAAAACACTTTTCTCACCAACACCACAATCTCCCAACACTAGCTGAACACCCAAACACCTTTCCTTGAAGGTTAAACACGGGCTACAGCAATAAACTGAAGAAAAGAAGGTGTTGGCAGGAAAATAGGGGAAGAAAAAAAATTCCCAAAAAACGTTTTAGGGCTCCAAAAAATCTGAGACAGCTTCCTGTAATCTCAGAAATTCACCACACTTCAAACACAAGTGGGTTTAACAGCAACCAGCCTACCATGCAAGCATGCAAGCCCTAAACTCCAAATTTGTAATTTTTGCCAATTTTCAAAATCCAAGAAAAATGTAAAAGAGCTTCAAACCTCCATGAAATGTATATCAAAATTCCTCTAAAAATGAGGCGCATCAAGGGGTGTCAACCACAAATGAATGCCGCCGACTGTACGGACTGTTGACGTCAACCGGCGGCATGCTGACATCAGCAGGTTCGCCTGTGAGTCACAACCAGCGGCAGATGCTCTCCTTGATCTTTTGATGCTCTAATACCAAGTTAAAGCAGTCAAGAATAAGAAGAAGAAGAAGAAGAAGAGAAAGAAGAAGAAAGGTTTTGTCGAAGAACTCAGGTGTGTTACTGTTCACACCCTGAAGAGACTTTCTTAATATTTGAAGAAAATTACAAATGGGCTCTTGAATAGGCACCCAAATACAAAAATAATGAAAGGACATAAATGCCCTTAATTCTCAACATTTATTATTACTAAATTTGCACTACACTTATTCTATGTTAGTCTTATTTATCTTAAAATCATTTGATAGTATGTTTTCGTGGCTTCATGATATATGTATTCATGCATGTTCTAGCATGACTATGTGGTCCATGGTTGGGCAGATTTGGGTTAGAGTTGTTTATGTGGGGGTTATACGAGTTGAATACATGTTGGAGTCATTTCGGGAGATGTTAAATAGTTGTTGTCTTGTGGAGTCCAGTCAAGTTGTTAGGTCCAAATAGGAGTGGCAATAGGAGAGTGGAGTAGTTGTGGCAGTTCCATAGGAGGTCCAAATAGGAGTCCAGTCAAGTTGCATGTGCTAGCATGATGTGATCTTAATGTGTAGTATATTATTACGAGACATTATTGCAGTTTTGTACTTGTGTTGCCCCAGTAGCAGAATCATCTCTCTGTTATCTCTTCTTTTTATATTTTGTTTTCTTGTCCTAGCTTGGTTAAAGTGGGGATGAAAGGGAAGTGTGGGCATAGAATGGGTCAGGGTGGTCGAGGTCAAGGTATCCAACATGTACAGACCAGTGTAGTATCAGAAACTATGGCTGAGCCACACACACATTAGCCAGCTGGAGATGGAGGTGAAAAATTTAACCTCTGGTCAAGAGAGGATTCACAAGGAGATAAAAGATTCTTTTCCATCCATAAACAGAAGGGTCGATGAACTCGTGGCAAACAATGACCATGAACAGGGAGAGACTTCTCAGAATCAAAATCTGGGAGGTCATTCCAACCTGTTGGAACCTCCAATATGCTTGTTCTGAAACCTGCCAAACTAGACTTCCCACATTATAATGATATTGAAGACCTCTCCAGCTGGATATGTTGGGTGGAGCAATTTTTTGAATTACAGCAAATGAGAGAGGTGGGAAAGGCATCCTTAGCAGCTTACCACTTGTAGGGAGAGCCCAACTCTGGCACCTACTGCTCAGAGAAGATTAAGAGCAAATAACATGGGAAGTCTTTGAACAGCTTCTCAGCTGATCAGGGAAAATGTTGTCAGCCCATAAATTGATATGTTTTGTGAGTGGTCTGAAGAAGCATATACGAATGAAACCCCAGACTTTGTCCATGGCAGTCAGGCTTGCTTCCCTCTATGAATCCGAACAACAAATCCAGAGACAGATCTCTCTACAGGAGAAGTGTGTTGCCAACTCTATCAGCAGTATTTTCTCCCACATCTGCTCAACTTTCACCTGCAATACCCATCAAATGGCTTACACTGACAGAATTACATGAACGTTGCAACAAAGAATTATGTTTCAACTGCATTGAAAAGGTTCAGCCTTGGATGTCAATGTAAGAAGTTATTCCTAATTGAAGGATTTGACCAGAGGTCGACAAGGAAGAGATAACAGAGAGATGGTTTTGCTACTGGGGAAACAAAAGTGCAATATGTTGCCACCAGCCAGTCCAGCCTCCTAGGAGATTGCCATGAGTATGCCACTCTCCTATTGATACTCCTATTTGGACTCAACAGCTTGACTGGACTTAACTATTTAACATTTCCCAAAATGATTCCAAATCGTTGACTGGTATAACACCCATATATACATCCCTGACCCACATCTGTCTCTGTCCAAGCATGCACCAAATGGTCATGCTAGCACATGCACGTATCACTTTGCATTTTATCCCACTCTACTTTCATAATTAGTGCTATCTTGTCTATAATGTAGTTAACTAAATTTCTACTAGTGCATCCTACTTGCAAACTGGTTTGATCCAAATATATTTGCAAGTTGGTTTTACATAAATTCAGGAAAAAAAAAACAATTAGTTCAAAACCCTAGAGGTTCAATAGGACAAAAGAACTCCTATTATGTTGTAGAAATGGAAAACCCTAAAATATAGGTATCATTAACCAAGTAATTTGTATGAAACCATGCAAGAGGTAATTTGGTAACATATCAATTTTCTGAATTTTCGTCTTTATATTACAAAGAGACAGAAGATTGGCTTTCATGGATGAGAAATACTTTTGCGGAAACTATCCTTTTAAGGTTTTTTTTCTATATCTTGCTAAGATGGTCATATTTGAGCTCAAATTGCAGGTTGGTGAAACTCTTCTCAAGATGGTTGTGGAAGAATCCAGCACTCCTACCATGAGTGCTGATGATAAAGATAATATAACATTTGTAAAATCTGATATATGTGACTCAAGTCATGAAATCTTGTTGTCCAACAAAGATAATATTGGAGGAGCATTGTCTACCCCTGCTGTCCGAAACCTGGCAAAGCAGTACGGAGTAAATATAAACGATATTCATGGAACTGGTAAAGATGGGCGAGTTTTAAAAGAAGATGTCCTAAAATATATTACCACTAAAGGGATATTTAGAGAGCCATCTGCATCTTCACAAGAAACCTTGGTGGAACAGTTACCTATAAAAGAGGAGAAGTCTTCATACACATTCTCTGTAGATGGATGGCATTATGAAGACAGTACTGTGTCCCTGAGGTAATATTCAAGTCACCTTCAACCTGGAAAACTTCCAAACGATGTGACTGAGATATGATCATGTACCATGTGACTCATATTGTTCATGTTGTCAAAATTTGACATTATCATATGATAATATTGAGGTGCCGAAGGCCCAAAGCCACTAGACATGGTTTCTAATATTTGCAAATTGATGATGTTGACCTAAGGAAGATGACAATATTTGTCTTTCCTATGACAGCATGGTCTTGCATGCAATGCTTCCATTTCTTCTGATATATTATTTGTCGTTTCCTTTCTCAGAAAAAAAAAGTTATTTGCCATTGGACCAGGTCACCAGGATATTTTAAGTAGTTGGAATTGAGTAATATCACTACATATGCATATTTACCGAGGTTACAAGTTTTGGTATTCAAGTTCCATTTTATAATACTACTGCTTGTTAAATGGGATGTGCTTTTATGTGGTTCCCTGTTTGTTTGCAGCTGTATGTTCAAGTTAAACTTTGAAATTATGGTTAAATGCACCTAATTGAGTGCTACTATTCTAGAGTAATAAAATCAGGTGAATCTAGAATTGTTGTTCCACAGTTGTCTTACTGGAGTTGAATATAAAAATCATGATATCTTGACCTATATTTCCACTGAATACTTTTATGTGTCTAATAAATCATTGTACACACAATGATATTTTTCATGCACTTACTCCATTTTGAATTACTTTTTTTAGACAAAAGGTAGGGTATTGTATTAATTCACTCAAAAAATATGCATGCCCTGCACAAGGCACTGTGCAAGGGCCAACATCCTTTCTGTACATTTTCTATTCTGTATGCATAGATACAAAAAGGGTATTAAAAACAAAATAAGAACTATACAGCCTGTTCTTGAAATGTTTGTGGGTCCCTACCCACAAATGCAACCTACCCCATAAACCTTTCACTCAGTATATTCCATTTTGAATTACAAGTATCAAAGCAACCAATAGTTTAAGAAACTTCATATTTATTTTGCTTACTTTTGTGGTATATAATCAAATACCGTACTCCTACTGAGCCACCTAGTTGACTGGATTCCGTATAATATCTTATCTTGGAGTTGTCAGATTTCTTATTATGATTCCCCTTGTATAATCTTCCAATATCATCTAATGTTCTGGATCTTATGTAATATTTTATCTCTTGGAGTGGCCTTATTATTTTGTGCCTTTTTTACTCGAATATTCTGCTTGGGAAAACTCCTTTATCACTATGTGATTAATGAAAACTAAGCATGATTATATTCTATTTGTTGAAAAATGCTTCATCATATGGTTAGGGGTGTAGTCACTATCATAAGAAAGGTTAGATTTGTAATTTGCACTGTGATTATAAAAGTTAATGATAGAGGTGTGGGCCTAACTTTAACATCCCTAAAACTTTTCTCCTCTCTCTCCTTTTTTTCTTCTCCTTTTCTCTTTTTTCTCTTTCAATCTTGTTTTTCTTGACCTAGAATCAACTACTTTATTTTTGTTTACCAGCCTTTTTTGAATTTTTATTAGACAGTTACTTTAATCATGCTCTTTCAGGGGATTCCAGCGATCGATGGTTAAATCAATGACCATGGCTGCAAAAGTTCCACATTTTCATTATTTAGAAGAGATAAACTGTGATGCTCTTGTGGAGCTTAAAGCGGCTTTTCAAAGTGAGAATTCGGATCCACAGATTAAGCATACTTACCTGCCGTTCTTAATAAAGTCTCTTTCAATGGCATTAAGTAAACACCCTTCAATGAATAGTTCTTTCAATGAGGAGTCACATGAGGTTATTCTTAAAGGTATGCAGAATTTAATCTGTCTTAAGTAATACTGAATTTGTTATGAGCTTTTCCTGTTGAGGTGTTAATAACATGTATACATTATCATAAGAGATGAAAGGAACTCAACTCATTGGGGAGGGGGGGAGGAGGAGCTGAATACATAGCTGTTAATAGAGTATATACCCACTCAAGTCCTAAAAATAAAATTTTGAACAATATGCACCTGGGGTAAATTACAAAGACCCCCCTGTACTATGGGGTCAGTGACAATTACCCCCTGAACTTTCACTTTGCAACAAATACCCCTGGCCGTTAAGTTATATGACGGAATGTGTTAAATTACCAAAATACCCACCTAACTTTTCTTATTTTATTTTCTCACCCTTTTATCTAATCCCTAATTGACCCAAAAATACCTCCATTTTCTCCAAATGAAACCAGCTAAAATAACAAGAATCATTAAAAACAAGTTTCTTCAAATTCTTGTTTCATTGCACTGACATGAATGTCTATCTTCATCTTAAAATATTAAAATTATCCACTCCTTTCTCTAATAAATCAAGAAAAACCAAACAAAACCTTAAATTTATATCTATCAGAAAGAAACCTCTACCATTTCATCTGAATAATGAATCCAGTCAGAAATTTACAAGGATCTATTGGAGCAAGCAAGAGGACTTCAATATTAGATTTATAAAACTAATTGAATCATAAATATTTCATTTAAATAAGAAAATGGTAGTTTGGGTATTTAAAAAACTAAACATCTGGGTGAGAATCTTTTTCAAAGTTAACTGATGGAACTCTAATGGAGGGGGTGTTTGCCACTAAGTGAAAGTTCAGGGGGGTCTTTGTTGCAAATGAAAGTTCAGGAGGGTAATTGTCACTGACCCCATAGTACAGGGGATCTTTGTAATTTACCCAAAAAAAGACAAATGCAAGACTGACATGCTAACTATTTGATTCAAATATACAGGATACCAGCCAGCCGCATGTTCCAATAAAACTTGACAAGCATTCTCTGCATGTGCTTCATTTGCCAAAATGCTCTACTGATTATAGACATAGCCTCATAAAGTTTTCAAGAAGATTCACAATCAAATTTCCCTGCAGAATGATTGTAGTTATTGCCATTCTCAATAAGTAGGGGTCATTGAATATTAGAATATAATTACTAAAGCACCACTTTTATTGTTTCTTCTACATGCTATTAGGAAGAGTGGCTTCATTTATCTGACTTTGATATTCTAGTTTAAAATTATTTGCTGCTTTGTTCAAGGAATTAACAGTTTATTTAGGTTGTTTAGACCAAAACTTGACTGAGTTCTGGTCTTGTCAACATGCAAAGCATGCAATGTTTTTATCATCTTAGGGTGCCAAGTTTTGTGAAGACACTATTGGATAGGGTGCAACAGATTTCAAGGAAAATCAAGTTGATAAAATGAAATATCAAACATTCTAATTTTACACAAATATCTTTCTTTCTTAGGTTTAAGGATCTTAGTTGATGGTTCTAATATCTCACCAGTACTTCAACTTTCTGGAAGATAAAATCAACATTCTACTCTCAATACGTGCATTTGATAGAAATCTAATAAATGTTGCTTTGAAATTAAGTTTTCCAGCTGGAGAATATTTTGATCCATGTCAAGCTGCACATATTATATTTCATCACCATTTATGAGTTTAAATTTCTCTATTATGTATTAGTTGTCAATGCGATGCCTAGGCAACAAGGAGCCCATGGAAGGTCACCTCACTTAAGTGCCTAGCTATTTTTGTACATGGTACTATAAAATATGTTTATACTCTTTATTTTCTGAGATTATAATAAGAAAATAAACATTATTAAACTAAATTATTCATTTTGTGGATTTATATACTAGTATCTTTTTATTATTTTCTTATTTGTTAGGGCTCAATCAATAGACATGGTGTATGCTATTTTGAACCCTCAAAGACTTCAATGCCCAAACTGATAATTAAGGAAGAACTTAAAATTTTATCCAATCAACACATTCTTCTACTCTTTCTTGTCTTCTTTTTCTAGGACAAAAACAGGGACTTAGCCCCTATCTTTCTGAGTTTTCCTTTTTTTTTTCTCATGAATATGTTTGATTTTCTTTGTTTTAATATGATTTACACTTTTTTTTGAATATTATAGATAACTACTAGTGAAAGATGGTTGTTGGTTGCTATGGAACCCATGGAATTACCCCTTCATGATTTTTATTTAAAAGAAAATCCATCGCCTAGGCAACCGGATGATAAGGCAGACATCTGTCCCCTAGCCTCATCTTGGTGCCTTGAAACTATGTTAATTACATCTTATATGCAACTTATGTCCTTGGTTTATTGATTTATTGTAGGATGCCACAATATTGGTGTTGCCATGGCTACTCCATATGGATTAGTTGTACCAAACATAAAGAAGGTTCAATCATTATCCATCTTGGAGGTTGGTTCTAATCCATTTGTTATATTTATTGACATCTTCAATTAACATTCCATTTTTCAAAATTGGCAGTTAAGATCCGATAGCTTTTCCGTGCTCTTTTTATTTTCCCTAGTAAATTTTGTTATCTTAAAATAAAGAAGAAAACTAAAAAACATTTTTATACATGACAAAATATATGATATCAATAAAGAGAAGAATATAGTAGAAGGGACCAAGTAAAATAAGGTTGGGCAAGTGGTAAGACTACATAAGACACCCATTCCCTTGTACATCAAAACTGTACACCCCAAAATCATTAGTGAGTGAGGGACATAAGAAACAGAAATTCACATTTGGGTTCTTAGCATGTCCTGATACTATTTGCTGATCTCAAAGGGATATTGCCTTGTTTTGAACTTATTAATGGCATTTTCTTGATCAACTTGAACAATAATATCCGATACACCCTTTGACTTAAAGGATCTGAGGCCCTTTGAGGTAAGCCCCAACCCTATTTGCCTGCCCAATACCAATCAGTGTCCAAAAAGCAATGGTAACCTAACCATTTTAATTGTACTACATTCCTCTAATGCCTGGCGTAAATAAGCAAACATATCCATATGAAAACAGTCCCCAACAAATTACTTTTGTATTGACATCATTTTATAACAAAATATGCAACCAAGAAAACTGACCGAATGCCCCTCTGAGAAATGGAAATTACATGTAGATGAGATAGCATGTTCATCAAATGGGAATATGGCTATGTAAATGCCTTGTTTGGACTGAAGAACATTTTGAATTTTAGTTACACAAGCATAAGCATACATGCATTTGTGCTTTTCCCAGAACTGTTGTTAGACTTTATCAGTGAAGCCTCACTGAATATCCTAATATAAGTAAGCTAAAAGAATCATAAAAATCAATATCGTCTAGATCAGGTTCAGGTATCGGCAAAGAATAAACTCAAAGTAAGTTTTAGCTTATCTTATTTATCTTCAATATATTATATTCCTACGTTACATTCCAGACACAATTCAAATTACACTAATGTTAGGAAAGGAGATTTTATAATGTTTGTTATCTCTATGACTATTCTTTGTCTTTCCATAAATTGAAGGTAAGGTGTCAGTGTTTCTGATGTTAGTCTTATAAATAAAGAACAAAGTTTTAGTTGCAATTGTACGTTTCTTTTATCATATGAACATTTAGCAATTATTGTGCAAATTAAGTGTATAGTGATATTGCTATTGCTAGAAACAGAAAGTTGTGGAAATTAGAAGGTTTATAGGAAAAGAAAATTGTAAAATTCTTAAATATGGTTCTCATCTCTAAACAAGTTGTCAGCATAAGGGCTTCAACAAATTAAATGATTGTCTAACTTTGTTACCAAGAGTTTTAGAAAGTCAGGCTCTTCATTTGTGATTTTCTTGAATTTTACCTCAGTTTTTGGTAAGAAGGGCTTGCTATGATTTTACAACAAGCCAGCTAAAAACATGAAAAGAAGACTTGAAATAAGGTCATAAATCATAATTGTCACATTCATATGTTCTGCCCATCCTAAGACTAATGGTTGTATTGTCGATTTTTTTCCTTTGTTCATTGATTAAAAAAAAAAGTATTTTCCTTTACTCTTACTTCGACTAATGCAGAATATTATCCTAAAGCATGTTCATCCCTGGTCAGGTTACTAAGGAACTTTCACGTTTACAACAATTGGCAATAAATAACAAGCTTAGCACTGAAGACATCTCTGGTGGAACGATAACTTTAAGTAACATTGGGGCAATTGGTGGAAAGTTTGGTTCTCCTCTCCTCAACCTGCCTGAAGTTGCCATTATTGCAATGGGCCGAATCCAGAAACTTCCACGCTTTGCAGATGATGGAAATGTGTATCCTGCGTCCATCCTCAATGTAAGCAGCAACTTGTTATTGTGCTTGTTATATATGAATTGTCATTTCCACATGCATTTTCCATTCTCTATGATTCTGCTTTTTAATTTTCTTCTTCTTTTCCTTTCTGCCTTTTTTTTGGCGCGGGGGGTTACATTCCAAGAAGTAAGCCCTGGCTTTCCCAGATTTTGTTCACATTCTTTAAGCATTGTTAAATGACTAAATGACCATTGCATGTAAGTAAGCTTCCTTCCATTACATGGGAAAGGTCATTTGAAGGATCTTGAATTCACTGATAGGTGTAGTTTTAGCACTCTGCCCATGTATATGAATTCGTGTGCGTGCCAGCCCCAGGATTCTATAAAGTTGTGTTTTGAAAGAAGAGGTAGGGAAAGTTCTTTCAAACCAAACACAGCCTAAGGGTCTAACCTTGAGAGGAGGGATTTATATTTTTTAAGGCTCAAATCTAATATTGATGAGGTTTGCCGTAAGATTCATGAAAAATAACTTTTAAATTCATTTTAGCATTTTCTTTCCTTTTAATGATTGGAACCATCTATTTTACCATAGGTTTGTCTTCTACTGCGTTAGTTATGAGAAGTTAATTAAATAAGGCCTTCTTCATGTTATGTCAAATGTCACTTAAATTTCTTCAGTTCTTTCTATGAGTTATAATAGAGTTTATTTACGATCATAATATCTACATACGAAACATGTAGTTGGGATCAGGTGCTAGGTTGATGTTTGGCCTGGTTAATCACTTGGTGCAACGGTTTGGTTGCTCCATTGAGACCTGGGTGACCAAGGTTCAAAACTTGGAAACAGCCACTCTGTATGTACAGGGGTAAGGCTGTGTAGTGTGTACATCTGTCCCTCTCCTGACCCCACATTGGCAGGAGCCTCCTGCACTGGGCTACCCTTTTATGTAAAAGGAACTTGTACACTATGTATAATCACAATTTGAGAGACACTTTTTAAGTTATATTAGATGTTTCTCAACAATCTTTCTTTTATCTTCTTCTTTTCTTTAATGATTTTTTATCTTTTATTTTGTCAAAAAAAACTAACTTAAGAGGGCCTCATGTTGAGGCATGCATACTAAAGTTGATTGTTGACATTGACCTGCTATACTTATGAATTTTGTATTGGGAATTTCCCCAAATTTCTTAAGTCAATACAACCTTACTGGTTTCCCAAGTCAATTCATTGTGTGGGCTGCATATTACATCTGGGAGACCTGTTATATTTGGGATAACGTTGGAAAAAGTTGCAGTAAATGGGTCTAATGGTTTTAAACTTTTAATTTTTCAATTATGAAGTGAAGCCTGTCTGAAACTCAACGTCCATGTCTAGTGGGGTTCAATGGTTACTTTATGAGTCTGAAATTTTCATTTGGTTGTTTGTCTTAGGTTAATATTGGAGCAGATCACAGGGTTGTGGATGGGGCAACTGTTGCCAGATTCTGCAACGAGTGGAAGCTATTAATTGAAAAGCCAGAACTTCTCTTATTGCATATGAGATGATTAGCTTATTAATAGAATCCACGATTTCAAGATAATTTGGAGCAAACATTAAGCAAAATAATGAATTATCAAGAAAAAACGCCTATGCTTCAAAGACCCATTTTTTCACAAAAAAAAATGCTTCTGCCACATAGGCAGTAAGCAACACTATGCTGTTTGGTACGGTGATTTTTATCACCGTTTTTCATGTATGTGCTGATAGGTAAGCACCACATTGGTGGGGTCCTGATTTTTGAGGCATGCCCGATTTTTTAATAATCAGTTGAATCAAACAATGAGATACATGGGCGTTTGTTGAAACGCCTATGTGGATCCGACGTGACACCATTTTTTTGAAAAATGGCTACAGTTACAAACATCCCTTTAGTTTTCACCTAAAAATGCATTTCATCATCTACTAAGCGTTATCCCAACTAATGGGGCCAGCTATGTATACAGTACACCCCGTTTCACCATTCCGTTATGTATGCCGTATCCATTTTTAAAATACTGGCGCTTTGAAAGTTAAAATATTCCTTGTTACTTCGACCCATTTCCTTTTGTCTACCCCTACACCCAAAAATGCATTTATTTTCTATTTTGAGAAATCACCTAAAAATGTATTTAGGCTACATAAATAAAAGCCTTCTGTTAAGGATACAATTCAATTTCAGGCTGCGAGAGAAGGAATTGGGGGCTAACCAAGGACCAGACCAGCAAACACAAGAACCGAATATTTAAAGTTGACCTAAACCGAGATTCAACCTGAGTGCAACCCTTGTCTAAGTATTTGACAAACTTGGTTGGGTAGGGACTAATTGGGGAGCGCAAGGTCTAAGCGATAGGAATGGTCCAAAACATCATCGAGCAAGTATAAACACTAAACAAAACTGATAGTGGTGCAAGCAGTAGATCTTGATTCATAGTGGCGTACGTGTTCGCTCGTGAAGTCGTGATCGGTTACATAGACCTTGATTCATAGTGGTGCAAGCAGTAGATCCCGAGTGTTCTCGCTTCTCATGAAAGCTTCTTTTATTGGCTTTTTCGAAGTAACTCGACCAAAGCTTCAGCCCTCCCCTGGCATCTCCAAAGCGGCTCAACCAAAACTTCAGCCTTCTCAAAATAGGCCCTAAGTGGATATGGAAACCTGTCAAGGATAGCAACCAATGTCTCTCTCTCTTTCTCTCCATTTTTACAAAAGGGGGGATGGAGCAACATGAAAATTTCACTTACTAATGTGTTTGGTTCCATGAGTGTTTATAGATTGATGTTTCTTACACTTTAATTGAAAAGCCTTGCTCTAAACATTTATTATTTTTTTGTTTGGTTGGGCATTTTAAGTACCACCCCATAAAGCCATATGCCACATGAGCTTACAATAAATGTTTTTTTTTTTTTGTTTTTTGTTGTTTGGTTGGGGTGCTTCAAGCAATAGCCCATAAACAATCCAATGTGACATTGTTTAGCTATGTCAAATTGTCAATAAATGCGAACACCTAAGTGGTGCTAATGTGGCCGCATTTTTCTAATAAACGCCCACAGTACCAAACACCCTCTAAAATGATTGAATTTGGTTTGTGATATGGTTACTAATTAAACCTGGAATTCAACTCAATAGTGAATATTGATACATATATTTTATATACTTTCCATATAAAAAATCCACTTACTAAATGATTGAATTTGGTTTGTGATATGGTTACTAATTAAACCTGAAATTCAACTCGATAGTGAATATTGATACATATATTTTATATACTTTCCATATAAAAAATCCACTTACTAAATGATTGAATTTGGTTTGTGAATGAAAACATACAAGTACGGATATGTTTATAATGCACGGCTGCAAAGTATTGTGAGTATGGTGTGAGAACCAGTTTTGTGAGGATGAAACTTGATTTCCCACAATATAGGATGTGGACTCGAATCTTGTTAGATAGCAGCAGTGTTTGGGATCGATGTTGTTTCTTGAGAGACGTTTTCTTAGAAAACGGTGTTACATAAGCATGTTGTTTTCTCATAAAATGTTCTTTCAAGTTTTTTATTTGGTATCATTGTTGTTGCTACCATGTAGGCACTTTCAATGCCACATCAGCACTATTGCTAGCAACAGTAGAAAAAATGGGAAAACACCAAAAAGGGCATTTTCTCTTTCTAGAGCATGGTTTGAAAAAACCTTTTTTTTGGGAAAAAAAACAGCTAACCAAACAGTAGACATTTTCTCATAAAATGGATTTTTGATGTGGCATTATTCTCTGAGGAAATGACATCGATCCCAAACACCTACAACAATAACAAAAATGGTAAAATTCTGAAACCTCCCTTGAAGTTTGGTAATTGCAGTCACCTCCCCTAGGTTGATCATATTGGGCACAAGGGGAGGTGATTACAATTACCAAACTCCAAAAAAAAAAAAATAGCAATCAGGAACAAAAAAAAAATGTTGGGGATGATAGGCAAAGTTACTCTTATCATGGCTTCTAGAAACATGATTCCCCTTTTTGTTATGTGTGCCTTTAATTTAAAGAAGGTTTCTATGGGAGAAGAGTAATACTGTAATAGACATCAGATCCACCTAATAGGATGGAATAGCATTTGTAGAGCAAAGCTAGATGCTGCTTGGCGATGGGGTATAAAGAAAGCTGCTTGGATAAATGCAGCATGCCAGGCAAAGCTAAGATGGAGAATTTTAAATGAACCTTCCAACTTAGGTTAAAGTCATGAAGGCAAAATATCTGAATAATACAAACTTTGGGGAAAGGAAACTCGTGGGCTTGGAAAGGGATTTTGAGCCATCGGGACCACCTAAAGAAAGGTATTCATTGGGTAGTAGGAAATGGTAAATTTATAAATCTCTATAGGGATAACTAAATTGATGGTCATCCCATAATATATATATATATATATATATATATATATATATATATATTAAAGGAAGGTCTTCAGACCATAGCCCCCCACCATTCAAACACATGGCAACCTCAACTTTTTGGAAAAAAGTATCTAGGAAGTTGGTTGTTCACATTTTCAAAAAGAAAACCCACTGACACTCCTCATATACATAAATTGCTTTTAACTACATTTAAATGTTTGAACTCAGACATGTGGCACTCTAAGACAGGTGTCATACATTCAATAATAGTTCTTTAGAAATAAATAAGAAGTGGGAAGCTCCCATTCTCATCCATTCCTAAAAAAAATGTAGGAAATGTAGAAGTGGTTGTCCTACAATCTACAGTCTGCAATGTCAAAAAAACTCAAATAAAATCACTTCAATCTACAGTCTGCAATTTCAATAGTTAGTTTTATTTGAATTTCAAATATAAATATAATTATTAACAAATAGTGAAATTCAAATAAAATCTTCTAAAAAACAACATTACTATAAAAAACAAAAAAAAAAGAGTAAAAACCAAAATGATACATATGTGTGACTGCCCCATAACAGGGTCACATACTAGATAAAGTATGGTAAGTCTTTTAAATCAAATAAATTTCTATCAAAACAACAAATGAAAAACCTAACCTAAATTTTTAATACAAATGATTTAAAAATTGAAAATTTTAAATAATTCATTAGTGGCCCCGTACTGAGTACAGGAGTCATGCCTAGTATCTATACTACTATAAAAAGTACGAATAGCCTCTAAAATTTCTGAAATTTTTCTTGACTAAAATACCCCCTTTTTTGAAATATGGTCCCTTTATTTTGAGGGTAAACAATGTAAATTGAATACTATTATTCAATGCATTCAATTCCCACATTTAAGGTATTAACTCCCATTCACCCTCATTGAATCATATATTTAAAGCATTTTTATTTATTATCATCACTAAATTCCACTAATTAAAAGCCACGGTGCCATACATTATAAATTAATAATTTGAATAAAATAAAAACTTATACTTTTAAAATATACATGGAAAAAATAATGTTATCATCTAGGTGGTGGTAAGAAATTAAACCATTTTGGGTCAAATGGGCCAACTCATGTTGCCACAATTAAATAATAAAAAATTTAAAAATAGATGAAATTCAAAAACAATATAAAAATTAAAGAAAAATTTAGGAACATTTTTAATATCATCTATTTGGCATATCAAACAATAATAATTATGATAAATAAGAAATATTTTTATTAATTATGGAAATGGAATACAAAATTTAAAACCAATTAGAAATAAAACCATTTTCATATTCTCTTCTCTCTCATTAAATCTCATATCTAAGTTATATTCTCTCATTAAATCCTATATTTGAAATACATTATTCTCATCATTAAATTCTACTAATTAAATCAACAACATTAATCTTAATAGTATAAAAATAAATATTTTGAAAAGTAATTTGAAAACAAAACCATTTTCTTTAAGCAATTCAATCATTTGAGGTTAAATGAGTTATTCAACAATGACATAATGTAATAATAATAAATTAAAATAAATAAAATATAAAATATAGAAAAAACAAATATAATTGGGCATATCTCTAATATTACATATTCATTATACTAAACAAAATAAGTATAAAATATAAGAAGTGTTTTTATTAATGATGAAAATGGAATGTCAAATCTAAAATCAACATAGAAATGAAATGATGTCATAGTCAAATAATAAAATTTAAAAAATAGAAAATAAAAAGAATCACAAAAATAAAAAACTAGAGAAAATCTAAAAGCCAAACTATTTTCCTTTTTGGGTCATGGGTTGGGTCAAATGGATTAACCAATGATGGAATAGTTAAATAATAAATCTTTAAAAATTAAAAAAGTACAAATAATCAAAATAATATAAAAATTATAAAAAAAAATTGTACACATCTCTAATATATTATTTATATCAAAAAAAGATTGTGTAATAAATAAAAATTATTTATATAATGTAGATGATATATATAATTAAAATTGATGTAAAAGCAAAGCTATTTTCCTACCTAGATGGTGGGTCAATTATCCAACTTTTCAAATAAACTCATGGTGTCATAATTGAATAATAAATAAATAAATAAAAAGATAAAACACAAAAAATTGTAAAGTATAAAATTTTATCT